AACGCTTTCCAATAACTACCGCACATATATAATATATATATATATATATATATATATATATATATATATATATATATATATATATAACTTTATTAATTTACTCTTTGTATGAATGATTCATTGTAATATAAATTAAACTGCACCACATATTTGATTTAAAAGAACTGATCCGACGTGCAAATGTTTGGGATAACAACTAAGACATTACTCTACTTATTATACAATCTAGTACATGCCATATTGACTGATAAACCCCTACAACAACAAAAAAATTCTTAGATTGCCATATAAGTTAAAAAAAATGGACTCACTTAATTTTTAAAAAAATTCAACCTTAGCGTTGCGACTGTACGCTCCGCAAGTTTGTATCCGTTATAAATAACACATTATATATTGATGTAATGAATATGCATACACCTGGGTTCCCCCTATCATTGGCTTGTGTCAGCCATAAATACAGACTAATGTGGAGGTACAGGACGATGCCTATTGCCTACCACTACGATGAGGACCAGTCCATTAGTTGACTTGCTTGATGGTCCTACTCTGTTACAGTAGTCCAAAACCACTTTGCTACTTCGAACAAATATATCCCTTTCCGGAAACACACACACACACACACACACACACACACACACACACACACACACACACACACACACACACACACACACACACACATATATATATATATATATATATATATAGATAGATAGATAGATAATATTAGTGGAAAATATACACATACATATGCAAAATATATGAATATATATACATACATGCATACACATACATATATATTTTGAATAAAAAATTCCAAGAGGATAGAATCCAGGTAGAACTCAATTTCCAGGACAGAGTAAGGTTATAATAAAATGGTTTAAACACTAATATTAGTGTTTAAGCCTTTATTTTATATATATATATATATATATATATATATATATATATATATATATATATATATATATTTCGATTTGGATTATATTTTTCATTTTGGATGCTACCTGAATTTTACCAAAAACAAAATAGTTTCCATGCCTGATGATGACTCGTAGAAACGTCGAAAGTACTTGCGTATTTAAGGAAGACCTAATACAGTTTATTATTTTAAAAAACAGGGATAATATCATTCACCAAGTGATTAGTGGGTTAATGCATCATTAAAATTTTGTTAGCGAAGGGATTTCGCCATTTTATATCATTAACTTTACTAATTTACTTTTTGTATGAACGATTCATTGTAATATATATATATATATATATATAGAGAGAGAGAGAGAGATAGAGAGAGATAGATAGATAGATAGGGGGTTATAAATATACACTAAGAAGTAGCTGCCCGAGAATTTTCACGATGGTTTACTATTCTTAATCTCTTGAACAAAATTTCCCTCCGTTGTGTGGTGGTGAAGCAAACCTTTTAGCACAGAAAATATACTCATGATTGTCTGAGAAGAATGGGGACGTCTTTGGAGCACAACCGTGGAAAATGGTGTCTGTGTGTGTGCGTGTTTATGGAACAAGTGGGTGGTAATCGTAGGCTTTGTAGCTATGTCAGGGGGAAATGAAATGGGATATTTTTTTTTAAAACGTTGGAATTAGGGACAAAGAAGAGTAACGTGATATTTGAAAGGAAAAACTGAAAGATTCTACCAGGTGGAAGCATAACGTTTCACTTTACAACATGGTAATAACTTGAAATAATCGAGTGCTCTGCTGAAGAATTGGCCCAAAGCCCAGATCAACGTCTTAGTTTGTTTTACAATGGATCCTAAGCCAAATCACATTTAAAATTTGTGGTTAGAACTTAATTTTAGGGATCAGCTTTAAATGTTAGTTAGAACGGTTTTCTCTCGAAGAAACGGGTGCCAAAAATAATTTGGTTATTTGACCTGTAACTAAATGGTATGGCAATTAGCTGAAGAATTAGCATTTTGTTGTAAATTAATTGTTACTGTTAATTTCATATCGTTACTGTATTGAATAATGATCTCTTAAATGGATTAGGAATATTTATCCATAATCACCGTCGGATTTTTATGTTAAAATATACGTTTCTATATTTGAAAAATAGATTATTTCGAATGCGGACGAATTTTACGTCTCGATCTATTTTATTTATACGAAAGCAGCTGGAATTTTTTTCCAACAATTTTTTTTTATTGAAACCGATCAAAGTGTGTCTATTTCATATTTTATTACTCTTTTCCCTCAGTATTTTTAGTCTAATGTGTCACGTCTCCGGATGAACCTTGTCGGAAAAAAAACAAAAAAAACCCCTAAAATCTATCCAACTTTCATGATGATTTTATTCAAGTATTTTGCACATTTCTAGTCACTGTTAGTAACGAAAACATTAGAAATTTGTGGCGAACGCATTTTGGTACATAAGCAAAAGAGGCCCCGGATCGCGTTCAGAATTAATACGAATTACATCAGATGTTTCCCCGCTAGCAGCGAGACAGCTTCGCTTATCTAGATACGGGCCTCTCTGCAACTGGTCAAGATCTTTGTAAAATACCTCACGCCAATAAGTGCAACGGAACAAACCAGCAGTTAGCGGTTGGCAGAACATGGTGTCTTGTGAAATGGACATTTTGTATCTGTGGTTTTCGAGGCAGGGTTATTTTGTTACCCCACCAGTGTCTCTTTCAACTCTCTGTAGTTGCTAGGAGAGCAATCGGTTAGTTGCTTCCCCCAACCTCAACACACTCTTACATTACAACACAAATTCAATCTTTCTTTTCTTTTTTTATCTCCTGTTTCACTTCTGGACGTTGGTGATCAAAACTCTCCCCAACTTCCTATCATTTCTAACTCCAAGCAGTTGTTGTTCTCTCAGCACCTTTTCTGTCATCCATTTATATAATCGCGTTAGTTCCTTATTGCTCACTGTTTCCCTCTGCTCGTCTTGCCTTTAATGTGTTACGTGAGTGTTAAATTCTCCAAGCCGTCTTTCCTTGTGTGCGCCAGAAATATGAACTACCTGTTTCTGATACCAAGTAAAAATGCCTTTTTTGTTTTTACTTCGCTTAAAATTTCGCGTCGTTAACATATACCATTCATAATATTCTCAGCATCCTTCTGTAGATCCGCTGTTGCCTCGTTATTTGTGTGGAAACTGTCTAAAATGTATTGCTTTATTAATATCATATATCAGTTCAATACACTTTTCTTTGTTACTTGTTGCTTAATATTTTTCTTATTTTTAAGTCATCTATAGCTATTTTTTAAAAGCATTTCACCTCAAGCAAGTCGGGAGTGCCACTAGCACGCAAGGGGTTACAGAGGATTGGGAGCAAGAGTAAAGAGTCGTGTTTGAGGAAAGGATACAGAGAAGGAGGGGGAACAAGCTCAGAGTGTCAGATGTCGATTGACATTACACTTGAATATTTGAAGATGATAGTCATCGGGGAAACAAGTAAATGGAAGGGCGTTCCACTGGCTGGAAGTACAGGAGAAGAAGCTGTTTGAGAAGAAGAAGCGGTTACATTTAACCGTTTTGATAGTGAAAGGGTGGGACCGATATGCCAACCTAGTAGCACATTTAAATTGATGTAGTCCGGGAACCAGCGAAAGTAGCTCGTCGGAACAGTTGCCGTGAAAACATTTGTAGAAAAGACAGAAGGAGGCCACAGCACGTCTGTGGGATAGCGATTGTAGACTAGATGCCAGATCAGGACCTATCATCTTGCATACTTGTCTCTGGATTTTGTCAAGGACCTTGAGACGTACAGCGGGAGCACCAGACCATATATGACAGCAATATTCCATGCAAGGATGAATGGTTGATTTATAGATTTGAAGGATGGACTCAGAAATGCGATATTCGGATTTCGGTGTCATATTTTTGTCTTTTGTTAAAACACTTCCCAGATAGTTAAATTTTTATGCTTGTTTGGTTTTGACCTTTCCAATTCCAAGCTCGCATCTTGGACCACCTCTCTTGGATAAGGACCAGCTACTCTTTCTTTAGGCATTTCTTTTCTCGCTTTCCTTTAACAACTTTTCTAGGAATTCCTACAATTTTCTATTTTTGCCTGCCATTTTCTTTAGCTTCAGTTTTGCATTTGAACGCTATAATTTTGAATTAAATATTAGGCCATCGGCGGAGAATGACGCTATATGTCCAATTTTTTTAAAAATATTTGGAAGGGATATAGATTTTAAAGTTAAAAAATTAGTACATTCCGAGACGCAGAACTAGACATTGCTTAATGAAAATTATATTGCTTTTAAAATTAAAAAAAAAAACAAAACAAACAATTAAAAATTTAATAAAAATTAAACAGGCGCTCTCAATCGATTTCAATAATATATATAAAGAAAATATTGCTATGGTACCTAGACTCCATGAATTTAAGCGAGATACAAGATTGGTGAATTGGTGAAATGTAACAGTAAGTTTTATGCTAACACTTCCTTCTATCGCACTTCTCGCTTGTGGAACTCTCTTCTGGCTCCGTACATTGCAGCCAACTATGATTTTCAAAAATTTAAATGCAATGTCAATCGTTACTCCTCTATCGTTCTCGTTTCTTAATGATTTTTCGCACTCAGTAACACATTGTGTCTTAGTGGCTTTATTGCTTTCAATGGGATAAAAAGCATTTAAAGAAATCTCCTTTGCGAAGAAACATTATACTCATGCATCTGTTTTATGCTCGAACGCAATCTTCAGGCCATGATCACCTGAAGATTGCATTCGAATATAATATACAGTCATTAGTAGGTGCTGACTTCAGTCTTCACTATATATATATATATATATATATATATATATATATATATATATACATACAGAGAGAGAGAGAGAGAGAGAGAGAGTTAAATTGCATATTCTTCAGAATTTAATTTTGCATGTTCTTCAGCCAAGAGATTTTTAATATACGCTCGATTGTGTTAAATTAACCTGTAATGTAATCACAGGGGAGCAGAAATAAAAGAAAAGAGTTATATTTTTTAAAAGTATATTAAATTTAAACGAGTGATCATACAGGGATAGATAGATAGATAGATAGATAGATAGATAGATAGATAGATAGATAGATAGAAACACACGGACCTAGCTAGGTACATAGCTAAATATGAACATACAAAGACAACCAGGTTGACAGACGGACAGATAGATGCACACACACACACACACACACATATATATATATATATATATATATAAATGTATGAACAGAATGAGATAGATAGATACATACATTGATAGATTGATATATGCATAAAAGGATATATAGATAGATATGAAGAGAATTAGATAGATAAGATAGATAGATAGATCTTACTAGGTACATAGATAAATATTAACATACAAAGACAACCAGGTTTATAGATATATAGATAGATAGATAGATAGATAGATAGATAGATAGATAGATAGATAGATAGAAACACACGGACCTAGCTAGATACATAGCTAAATATGAACATACAAAGACAACCAGGTTGACAGACAGACAGATAGATGCACATATATATATATATATATATATATATATATATATATATATATATATATATAATAAATAAATGTATGAACAGAATGAGATAGATAGATACATACATTGATAGATTGATATATGCATAAAAGGATAGATAGATAGATAGATAGATAGATAGATAGATAGATAGATAGATAGATAGATAGATATAAACACACGGACCTAGCTAGGTACACAGAGAAATATGAACATACAAAGACAACCAGGTTTATAGATAGATAGATAGATAGATAGATAGATAGATGCATAAAAGGATATATAGAGAGATAGATATGAACAGAATGAGTAGATAGATATATAGATAAATAGATTGATAGATGCATAAAAGGGGACATAGATAGATATGAACAGAATAAGATAGATAGATAGATCTAACTAGGTACATAGATAAATATTAACATACAAAGTCAACCAGGTTTATAGATAGATAGATAGATAGATAGATAGATAGATAGATAGATAGATAGATATAAACACACGGACCTAGCTAGGTACACAGAGTAATATGAACATACAAAGACAACCAGGTTTATAGATAGATAGATAGATAGATAGATAGATAGATAGATAGATAGATAGATGCATAAAAGGATATATAGAGAGATAGATATGAACAGAATGAGTAGATAGATATATAGATAAATAGATTGATAGATGCATAAAAGGGGACATAGATAGATATGAACAGAATAAGATAGATAGATAGATCTAACTAGGTACATAGATAAATATTAACATACAAAGTCAACCAGGTTTATAGATAGATAGATAGATAGATAGATAGATAGATAGATATAAACACACGGACCTAGCTAGGTACACAGAGAAATATGAACATACAAAGACAGCCAGGTTTATAGATAGATAGATAGATAGATAGATAGATAGATAGATAGATAGATAGATAGATAGATAGATGCATAAAAGGATATATAGAGAGATAGATATGAACAGAATGAGTAGATAGATATATAGATAAATAGATTGATAGATGCATAAAGGGGACATAGATAGATATGAACAGAATAAGATAGATAGATAGATCTAACTAGGTACATAGATAAATATTAACATACAAAGTCAACCAGGTTTATAGATAGATAGATAGATAGATAGATAGATAGATAGATAGATAGATAGAATAAAATATTGATGCGAGATCCAGATGACAAATTTTGAAAAGAAGGTAATCAAGATTAAAAGGAAGCCAAAAAGGAATAAAAGATAGAATGTTTGAAAGAAGTCAAGCAAGTAGAAACGATGACGAGAAAGAAAGAAAAGACGCAAACATGTCAGACAGACAGACAGACGGAAAGAAAGAAGTGAATACAGAGAAAAACAAACACGCAAGAAATATCTGTAAATAGATTGAGGGTATGTAAGAACTAAATATTCTCTTCTTCGAAAAGTTCTCATGAAATTTTGCCGCGTTCCTATTTACTGGTAAAAAAAAAATCTTATTATATTTTCCATTCACCAATGCTTCCTGCAACGCAACACGTGTGATTATTTCTTGACATTCAAACCTTACAAGGAAAAGTATTTTTGATGACGAACAAACGAGGTCACAGTTTCATCTCTAGTTGGGGGTCTTCCTGTGATTGCTCCATAGCCCAGGTGTTACTCTTTTAAAACGAAGGCAGATATTTTCAATGTTCCATTTCTTATACGGTGAAACGAAATTCTATCTTGACAATTTAAAGAACATAAATAAAAGAAAAATACAGATGAAGAAATAATGCCGATGTTATGTTTTGTATTAAGGAAAGGTGAAGCAGATGATTCCCTAATTATAGAAATAGTAAATGTCATTTTGGGATGTGCGTCAATAGTAACAATCTTTCGGCGAAGAAAGTGAAATCGACGCATCAAGTTCGAATTCTGTTCGAGTTTGTTCTTTTCAGATAGGACTAATAGCTCTGAAAAAAAAAAGCAGTAATTTTGTCTTCATCCTGCAATTTGCTAAATGGCATAGAGACCAGTCCATGAATTCAAAACCAGCAGATTGTTTTTTTTTTTTTTGCTTTACGGCATATCAACCTCAATGGATTATTCAATGCCGACAAAATTTTATTGCTGGTACAATTTTATTTTCGATAAATATATTGCTGCTAATATTTTTTCTTCAAAAATATATTGTCGCTAATATTTTTGTCTTCAAAAGTGTATTGCTGGTAATAATTTTTCCTTCAAAAATTCATTGCTGGTAATAATTTTTTCCAAGAATTTATCGCTGGAATTAAAACCTGTTTCTACACTTTCATAGTATTTTGAATACGGTTTGAGGGTTAACTATTTGCGCATAGCTGGGACCCTAACAGGTGCTACCACCCCAGATCATGGTGGACCTGGGAACATCAGCAATTAAGAGGTAATTCCACACTCCTCAAAACCTCCTGATCAGAGGCCTTCCTGTTGGACGTAGTTTATCGTCATACCCAGGACGCGGATGTAGTTTATCGTCATACCCAGGACGCGGATGTAGTTTATCGTCTTACCCAGGACGCGCATGTAGTTTATCGTCATACCCAGGACGAGGATGTAGTTTATCGTCTTACCCAGGAGGCGGATGTAGTTTATCGTCTTACCCAGGACGTGCATGTAGTTTATCGTCTTACCCAGGACGCCCGTCAGGTTGTCTTGTTGTAGACACAACCATGGCTGTTATGGCTGCTCTACAGGTGATGCCTCTAAGTGAGTTATTGGATCATGATCGTATATTTGCCTTCGATGCAAAAGAATGTAAATTGGATTACATCCGTGAATAAATGAATTGATGAAATAGCCATAGCTCGGTGGCCTTTATCAGATGATTACGAAGTTAATCAGCCATTGTCTGTTGGGACAATTTAGGATTGGCAGTGCGCAAAAGCCGTTTTAGCGATTTTTTTTTCTTACTCGCTAAACTAAAATTGTCAGTTTTTTTTAGAATTTAACAAACACACACACTCTCACACACCTACTTTAAAATGCTGGTTAAAATACACACATAGCAGCAGTAGGGTTTAAGGATCTGCCTAGCTCTGCCGAACCCTAATATGTATCGAAGTCCTGGATTGGTTGGAAATCTGTCCAATTGCAAAACGTCATCCAGCTACACCAGTGGGATATACTAGCTATTTTCACCTCTAGTAAGTCCTCTGAAAATCAAGAACTCTCCTGCTCCTCTTCCGACTTTATATGCCGAAGGCATGAACATTCATCATTTGTTAAAGAACAACAACAACAACAGAATCGTTTACAAAAGGTAAAGGGTTTATATGTTATACATTCTGTTGTGGTACGATCCACCTAATTTACATAGTACCGGTACCCGACCATATAAATATGGGTTGGTACCGAGAAGACGGGGGAGGAAGAAGAGATCCAATCCAGAGACTCTGCCCGACTGCGACTAAGTCAACCCATTCTACAGGAACGGTCTTCCCAAGAATATACCAAACTATCTGTAAATATTGTGTACACGTTCTTGTGTCAATACATTTTGTTTAAGTACATTTTGTGTTGTATTATTATTATTATTCCATGCTTTATTCAAGTTTCAACACATTCTTTCTCAATAGACTAACTGCTATGTGTGAAATATGTTAGGCAAACCCTTTTTCTTTTGTCAGGCTTATCCGTAATGTCCACGTTGTTTAGAAACACAACAGCCTTATGGGTCATTTAATGCCGAAATTTAATTTTCTTGTGAACATTAGTAACACTGTTAAAACACTTGAGTGGTAGGAGTAAAGGGAAGAGTTGGAGGAGGGGAGTCTGATGATTTAAGCAGTTAAGGGATTGATGATGAAGTTGTCATGATTTCTTGGGAAAGCTAGTGTAGTAATTTATGGATACTTTCTTCACGGTTCTTGATTTGTTCTTCTCTGAGACTAATTGCCATCCAAGGCTAGAGATCCCGGCTTGTCCTGCTATTTAGCTCACAGCTGGAGAATGGGGTAGCAGAGATAGATTCATACCTTTCGCAAGGGCAGTTGTGCATGAGGGGGATCCCCCCTAGGATATTTCCGGAAGGATTGGCAAAGAAGAAGAGGAAGAAGAGCCCCCCTCCTTATCGGAATAGATGCTGAGGTTGTAGTATCTGTTCCGTGCCGGTGTCCTTTTCTCTTCCCTTGCCTTGTCATCCCCCACCCACCCGTTGCGTAGCATCTGTTACGTAGAGGTTGTATGACCGGCTACGACTAGCTTAGACAAGCTATGACCAGCTTAGCTTAGGCCGGCGGCTCCAGTAAAAACATTCGCCCCCCCCCACGTTGAAAACCGACCTTGTGTCACAACTTGGCTCCGAGGGGAGTCAAAATAAATCCCGGACATTTCTTCAAGAATGAACATAACAGACATGACAGGTATTTGAACTCGATTTGGTGATTTCAATTGGCGCAACAATAACTTTTACGCTCCCAGAACACATATTTTGTTATTCCCATTAATCCGTGCAGCGGGAAGAATTTGAAAAAAAAATGAAGAAATCAAAATTCATCTAAAACCTACTCTAAATATTGACGATACTATTTTTTTAATTATGGAATTCTCTCCATGCTAATTTTACATTTCACGGCACAAATACTAACATAGTTTTCGATTCTATACTGTTCTACATTCTAAAGTCTTAATGCCAGTCCCAGCGAGAATTTCCTGAAAAAGCTTCTGCATGCATTAACCCATTAATGACTACCGTAAAATCCGGTATTAATTGTAAAAATAAAAAATAAAATTCCAGCGTCGTTAGCAAGTGACGCAGCCTGCGAGCCACGATTTGGAGACATTGCGATCATAAAAATCCAAAAATTTCACTACCCGGGAAGTGCTTTAAAAGATGACGTAAAATGCGACGCCGAAATCTGAGCTCGCATTGGAATATTAAAAGGTACCTTCCAACAATGTATTAATAAACAGGAAAATATCGTGACAAGCAAGAAAAGTGATGCGCTGTTATGTAACATTGAATCTCTGCCATGGAAGTGAATGTTGGACAATTTCCTCATCAATTAAGAGAAGGCAAATGCAATGTTGATCAATAATAAGGATACCATGGAAGGGAAAGCGTAAGAAGCGGCGAAGTAGACACTTCTGCTGAGAGTCGGAAAGGGATCTATAATAAGGAAACAAGGCTTTATGAATGTAACACTTATAGGGCATACTGGGAGCAATACGTGTAGGGGAAAACATTATATAATCTGCCTGACGAGTTTATGTAAATTGATTGCAAAATATGGACTGTGATATATAATATGGGAACAAAGAAGTTGTAGAGAACCATGATCGTCTACGTTTGAAAAGACGCGGCATATAAAAAAAATTAAAAAATCGTACAAAGAAGTTGATGTCCGAACAGGGACTGGTAGTGATAGTAAGGAAACAAATATTACTTAGTACTACAAAGGATAGGAAATTGTGGAGGGCCATAGCCGTCTATATTCTGAATAGGATGCGCATATAAAATAATATTAACAAATAAGACAAAAACTGATACCCGAATAGTAAGGATGCAAACACTGCTTAGCGCTGCAAAGAATAGGAAGTTGTGGAGAGCTATGGTCGCCTATGTTTTGAAGGGACGCGTCATATAAAATAATATTAACAAATGAGACAAAAATTGATGGCTGGACAGGGTCTGAAAAAGAGAGTAAGGAATCAAATATTGCTTACACTGCAAAGGATAGGATATTGTGGAGAGCCATGGTCGCCTATATTCTCAAGAGAACATCATATAAAATAATATTAACAAATAGGACAAAAATTGATGCCCGAGCAGAGACTGGGAGAGATAGTAAGGAAACAAATATTGCTTAGTGCTGCAAAGAATAGGAAGTTGTGGAGAGCCATAGTCACCTATATTCTGAAGAGAACGTCATATAAAATAATATTAACAAATGGCACAAAAATTGATGCCCGAACAGAGGCTGGGGGCGATAGTAAGGAAACAAATATTGCTTAGCACTAAAAAGCATAGGAAGTTGTGGAGAGCCATAATCACCTATATTTTGAAGAGACACTGCATATAAAATAATATTAGCAATATAGGGACTGAGAGCAATAGTAAGGAAACAAATATTGCTTAGCACTGCAATGAATTGTGGAGAGCAATGGTCGCCTACGTTCAGAAATGTCTCGTCATTCAAATGGGAAAGTAGATGGTGGTTTAATCAGGAATTATCTGACTCGGTTATAATGCTTGAAACATTGAAGCCGTCAGGCTTAACTGTCTTGGCAATATTGCTCTGAGTATTTTCTTTGGACCATATTTCCTTTATTAGTAAGAATAATCATTTCCAAATCAATATTGAAGACCAAATCCAAAGAATATCTTCTAAAATTAACTGTTCGTTTTGTCCATTCCATTGCGACAGCGGACAATGCCATAGAACATTCCCACGTACAGTAATCGCTCGAATGATATTCCTTTCTACAAAATTTCTTTTATATTATAATCGAGCATGGCAGCATTTTTTTTTTCATATAACGACCAAATAAGCAATCAATATTTGAATAAACGGATAAAAAAAAATCTCCTTTCACAAAGCAAATGTCCATGAGCTAAATGTCTGTTGTTCTGTGCTTGTATCTCTATCTATAAAAGGCAGGATGTGTGTATGTGTGTATGTGTGTGTGTAACGAATGCACGGTCGCAATTTTTGACGGATTTGCACCAAAATTTACATGCACATGCTCCAAGTTGGCGAGAAGACTAAGACCGACTTTGCATTTCCCAACTCCCATCGATAGTGGAAATAATCAATTTTTTCATGCTTCTACGGCAGTTTTCATGTAGTTTGTGGCCATTTTCTACTGGCCAGAGTGAGAGCCAACAGCTGACTGAGACAAATGTTAACTAGCATAATAGCATGCAAAAAAAAAAAAAAAAATCGATACCTGCATTCGTCACAAGTGGGAAAAATTTAAATCTGCATGGCACTTTACTCCAATTGGCTCATTCACTTGCTTAAACTCAACGTTGATTCTGATTCCGCAGAACTGGGTTCGGTGTGAAAAAGTGTTTGTTGTTAAAATTCTTTTTTCATTCGGTTTTTCCAGTTACGAGTCGTTTTTTAAAGCTGATCGTTTTGTGTTCATTTTGTTTACTTCTTTTTTCGTAAAGATTTAATGTTTAGTATAAAGCTTAGAAAAAATTCGCAGTGTGAGATAGGCAAGAAGTAAGGCATGTAGCAACATCAGCACGGCAAAGGGCACTCCTTTAAAGGCAAGGAAAGGCAAAAATATTTTAAGTCAAGTGATAGCGATTGCTGTATGAGTCGTACGATTTTTGAATCAAGCACGGGCAACGCCGGGCCATGCTGCTAGCATTTTATATTTGGAAATTATTATGGCCAAGATCTTTGAAAGCATTAAAAAGCAAAGGTTCGTTTTTATATCCCTCCTGTGAGAATGGTTGCGAATGAACACGCAAGAATAAAAAAAAATATGTCGTTGGTAAAAATTAATCAACGGATCAGCGACAAGAGGGCTTCAAAAACTTGATATTCACGTTCTCTTTTATGTGCCCTGTTTACTCAGAACGTAGCAGATCATGGCGCTCCACAACTTCCTGGGCTTCGTATCTTTTAACAGATGTTGTTTTTCTGTTATTTCTCTTCAATCCTCTTCCGAGATCCATTTACTGAAGTTCGAGTCCCGTATGCGTTGTTTTTCTTTGTTCTTGTCCTCAATCCGTTCTTTGTCTATCAGATTTTCCAAACTCTTATTTCTCATATATCTGTATTAGAAAACACAGTTGTTTCTTCCTGATGTTAATTATCTTTCTTCTTTGTTTCCATTTATTTTTTTTTATTGAACTATTATTCGCATAGTCTTCAACTTTAATTAAATTCTATCTATCTATCTATCTATCTATCTATCTATCTATCTATCTATCTATCTATCTATCTATCTATCTATCCGGTAGTAGATTCATATCTATCAAAGCGGAAGTAGGTTCATATCTATCTATCTATCTATCTATCTATCTATCTATCTATCTGGTAGTAGGTTCATATCTATCTATCTATCTATCTATCTATCTATCTATCAAACTGGAAGTAGGTTCATATCTATCTATCTATCTATCTGGTAGTAGATTCATATCTATGTATCTGTTTATCTGGATTAGGTTCATATCTATCTATCTATCTATCTATCTAATTATTTTCATTTCTATCTATCTATCTATCTATCTATCTGGTAGTAGGTTCATATCTATCTATCTATCTCTCTGGTAGTAGATTCATATCTATGTATGTTTATCGATCTGGATTAGGTTCATATCTATCTATCTATCTATCTATCTATCTATCTATCTGGTAGTAGGTTCATATCTATCTATCTATCTATCTATCTATCTAATTCTTTTCATATCTGTCTATCTATCTTTCTCATTCTGTTCATATCTATCTATATATCCTTTTATGAATCTATCTCATTCTTTTATTATCTATCTATCTATCTATCTATCTATCTATCTATCTATCTCAGGCTCTGACTATATATCTATTGGATACAAACTTGAGGGTGTTATAGTAGATAGACCATTTAAAATTTTTCTTTGATTCCAATTTGCTACCAAAAACTTTTATGATGCAGAATAATATTTGTATTCATCGATCTGTATTTTGGCTGATTTTTCTTTTTAAGTTCTGTTTCAAATAAATCAAATTTCTTTTGTTTAGTTTAGTTTGATTTATTTTATTTTACAGCATATCAACACCTCAATGGGTTACTTAAGGCCGACAAAACTTTTAGGATAGGTTCGTATGTATAGAATATGCATTCTTTGTAAGAAATCAATTTGTAGATCAGGTTTAACATATTTTTGTAAAGAAGTTTTTTTGTCGAGAGTCTGGTTTCATTGATATAGTCATTTCAATTATACAGTTTATAGAAAAATTGATTTTATTGATTTTCCCATTTGGCTTATCTTTTTGGTATAGGCCACTGTTTTTTGCTTTCTCGAGGAACTCATACAAATTTTTTATATTATAGAAGATTTGCTTTTAGAGATCAAGGTCTGAACATTCAATTTATATATATATAATAGTGTATGTCGTTTCACTTGCTTGGCATATAGGTTGATCTTTGTTGTTTATCAAGTACGAGTGGGTTATTCTCGTGTGGCCAATGCGTAAGCGGACCAGCACTATTTCTTCCTTTCTGGATTTTATGAAAGCCGACATACTCTCCTAGTTTGGGTTGAATTGCGAAGAGTTTATTGCGTGTTATCCTCCCAGCACCTTTGCCCTTCCTTTTGAATATACTTCATAATGACGTCCTTAAAACTGGGATTTTCGTCCTTGTGTCTACATTCATATCTAAAGCTGATTCGGCTGCTAGGCGTGATTTATTGTTACCTTCAAGTCCGATATGGCTTGGAAGCCGACATAGTTTGATGTCTTTATGTTTGTAAGTAGTACCTATTTTGCATAATAGTTTGATAATTAGAGCGTTGTTGAATTTTTTTCCCCTTCAAAGTCGTTAGGATGGATAATGAGTTAAAATGTTTGTTTTCTCTGTATGATGATGTTGAGAGCTAGCTCTGTTGCGTAAGACTTCACTGCGAATCTAAAGCTTCCCTTTGGGTAGTGTCTTTTTTGTAATATTTTGGCTTACTTCTGCACATCTAGACTTGTCCTTTCTGTATAGATGGGTGTACGGTTAGGGTAGTTTTCCAATAGGCCCTGAAATTTATCCTAGAATGTGAGTGGTTGCATTTTTTTTTAGAGAGCTTACTTAGTTCGAGAATGACTTCTATTTGCTCGATTGCCCATTGTAAAATATTAGCTGCAGACGTTTCTTGTACGTTTGAAAGTGTGATCCCTAACTATTCAGCAATGGATTTCATACTGAGGCCATAGGATTGGCATACTATTAGGTTGGTGCAAAAATAATGAAGTAATAATGTCGTTTTTTGACGTTAAAAAATACGTCAAAAAACGACATTATTACGTCGCTAAAACTCTAACGCCTTGCGTCTTAGTGACTTTATTGGTTTACTTGGGGTGAAATGATTCAATATATATATATATATATTTATAGAGAAAAAGGTGTCTATAATGGTAGATAGAGCACTTGTAAATATAGACAGTGTAGATATAGCAATTAATACCAAAGACAAGAATGAATATAGGAAAATAATGTATTAACATAATAATACAAACTGGTAATGCAGGTTAGTAGTTCCAGGAATACGGGTTAGTAGCAAAATATATATACAGTCTTTGGTATTGAAGTATCGCTGTATGACTTCTTACTGAGTCTACGTGCTCGCTCACTGTGACTCTTGCTCGCTACTTTCGTTCTGTCTGTCTTTCTGTTACCTTCACCCTCTGTTTCTCTCGTCTCTCGGATCTTCACGTAGCAGTAGTATATGTATATACTGGGTGAGTCCAATTGTGTAAAAAAGGGGAGGACCCCTCAACATTATCTTAAAAATATGTGTTGGCCATGACACCTTTTAAGATAAAAATGCTGTTTTCTTTTTCGCTTAGTTTGAATTTAACGTACGACATATTCGACTGGTTGATCAGGGTAAAGCCCTCAAGCCTTATATTCTTTTTTTCAAAAAAGAGGAGATAATTTTTCTTTTGAAGCCAAATTAATTGTTCACACGCTGGTAATTTACAATCGCCCGGGGAGACGCATTGTTATGCGTTGAAACTTGAAACACGGCTTTAATTGTGTAACGATTTTTACATGTTTTTGTTGTAATATCCCAAAATAATTAAATATATATATATATATATACATTGATTCAAAAATCGTACGACTCATACAGCAATCGCTATCACATGACTTAAAATATTTTTGCTCTTCCTTGCCTTTAAAGAAGTGCCCTTTGCCGTGCTGATGTTGCTACACGCCTTACTTCTTGCCTATCTCACACTGCGAATTTTTTCTAAGCTTTATACTAAACATTAAATCTTTTACGAAAAAAGAACTAAACAAAATGAATGCAAAACGATCAGCTTAAAAAAGGACTCGTAACTGGAAAAGCCGAATGAAAAAAGAATGTTAACAACAAATACTTTTTCACACCCAACCCAGTTCTGCGGAATCAGAATCAACGTTGAGTTTAAGCAAGCGAATGAGCCAATTGGATTAAAGTACCATGCAGATTTAAAATTTTTTCCACTTGTGACGAATGCAGCTTTTTTTGCATGCTAGTTAGCATTCGTGTCAGTCAGCTGTTGGCTCTCACGCTGGCCAGTAGAATCTCCCTGCCTATTCGTGGCAGCAGGCTATAGGCTCTCACTCTGGCCAGTACAAAATGGCCGCAAACTGCATGAAAACCGTCGTAGAAGCATGAAAAAATCGATTATTTCCACTATCGATGGGAGTTGGGAAATGCAAAATCGGTCTTGGCCTTCCCACTAACTTAGAGCATGTGCATGTAAATTTTGGTGCAAATCCGTCGAAAATTGCGGCCGTCCATTCGTTACACACACGCACAGACTCACGCGCGCACACACACACACATCCTGCCTTTGATATATATATATATATATATATATATATATATATATATATATATATATACTATCGCATATTGAGTGCTAGTTGATTGGGTTATAGGGCATGCTAACTAATATTATATGTTTATAAAAAAACAATTGATCTCGCAGTACAAAATTCCTGAGAAAGAAAACTACTAAGACATATCACTATATTAATTGAACTATATAATTAGTTCATGTCATGTTAACTGAAAAACACTTGTAAAAAAAGAATTCGTGGATTTACCATATTACAAATTTCATATAAAAATTCTCACTTGAAATTTTGAACTTTAGCATTGCGACTCGCACGTTCCGAGATTGTACAACCGTCAATAAATAGCACATTCTAAAAAAATATCTTTCGGTCTACAAACAATTATTTCGTCTTCAAGTTTTAACTTTAAAGGAAAAACAAATTACAGCCTGGCGATGAAGACATGGATCTTCGAAAGTACTTGCTTAACTTAAAAGAATATACACTAGAAACATCTGACAACCGTTTTATAAATGAGGATCACATCATTCAATGGATTAACAGTATTTTAATGCATACATTATGTTCTACTAGCGAAGTGATTTCGCCATTAATTGCATTCATATTGCTGATTGATTCTATGCATGATTATTTCTTTTTTATATATATATATATATATATATATATATATATATATATATATATATATAGAGAGAGAGAGAGAGAGAGAGAGAGAGAAATACATCAGGGATATGCTGTCTAGATATACAAGTTAGGCAGTGCCTGCCCTGAATAAAATAGATCAGCAGCTACATTTTCCTTCTATGCCGCAATATGCACCTAATCCAACAAAAATATGAAGATTACTCAGATTATTATGCATAAAATGCGGAATATTTTTCCAGATTTCCTACAAGAAGTTCACAGGCTACTTACCCTGAATAATTACTGATGACACGTGCATGAGTATATATATATATATATATATATATATATATATATATGTGTGTGTGTGTGTGTGTGCGCGTGTGGCTGAATTATCTGAACGAACGTGGAGATAATTACACAAAGTGGAAAATCTTTTTCAGTAACGCGTTTCTTCCTTCTAATTAGGCCCCTCCTGATTGGATTCAGAGGTGACAAACTCGTCAGTGTGAAAAAGTATGTTGGGAAAATGAATAGGACCTAATGGAGATCGCTATCAGATGCCACAACCAGTGAATTGGTGTTTTTTTTTTCCACTGGAGTTGGAATTTAGCCCGATCCAAGTAGATCTTTATTTTATTTCTAGTACGTTTGCCGCATTGTGCGAATCATATTTTTTACGTATATGAGCCTGGTCTAAGGTTGACTGTAGAAAACTGCGAGATCAGATCCCTTCATTAAATATCTTTATTATCTCATTCCGTCTGTGGGAAACGAGTGGTAGGGTGAAAAACAACTGATCAACCACAAGACGTCGTAGTTGACCAATGCAAAGTATAAGAGTTTAAAAAAAAATCAAAAAATCAGTTGTAATGTTGAAAGAAATCCGAATTCCTACCGATAATTTTTAACAGACTAATTCAATTGAAAAAAAAATCAATCTTTGAGGAAAATGTCTCAGTTGATACTACTTGGACTGGAATTTATATTTTCCTTTCCTGATTGATCGAAATTCTCAGGTAAGTTTGTAGTTTGTTAAAGGAGATCCAATTAGTCGAATCTACTAAATCGATTTCATGTTACAAATGGAACAATATGAGCAACTTGCTTCTGTCTGATTAAACACCCAGTCTCATTAATTAGTCTGTCTCTTACATCTTAATTAAGCCCCGTCATTTGTCAACTAACACATTGTTTCTGTAATAACCTATATTGACATCTCGAATGCTGTCCTTATATGTCGAAATAACGACCGGCAAATTCGACGTTTCCTAGAATCTGAGTCAAATCATTCGATTCTCCCTGTATATGTTTACTGCCACGAAAATGATTAAAACAAATCAATGCTATCAATAAGATGGAAGAAAAACCAGGGAAATTTTTCGTAAAACCATTTGAACTTTTCGTAAAAGGGCAGAAAGAAGAAAATGGACGAAAG